CCTTTTGCATGATGTATTCTGCATATAAGTTAAATAATTAGGGGGACAATATGCAGCCTTGTTGTACTCCTTCCCAATTTTGAGCCAATCAGTTGTTCCATATCCAGTTCTAACTTGAATTCATACCTTTCCCCAAATTTCTGAATTCTGAGACAATTATTAAAGAAATTAAGGAGACACTTTTTTTCTTACTGTGCCAAAATGTTTTATCTGTTTTATGCAGATGTCACCCAGGTCTGCTGCTTTGCCATTTTTGTAACTATAAGTTTTTCTAGTTCACTTAAGCTGAATAGTCTTTAAGGTCTTTGGTCTCCAGTTGCTTGTTTCTTTCTAGTTTAAGTTCTAATTTCCTGTGGTGATGTTCAGATCTGTCATTAAGGAATTCACAGGTTCTTTGATTTGTGTGGCTTTAGTTTAGTTGTTAAAAATTATCAGGGTTTTTAAAACTACTTCTTGACATTTATTTCTTCCATCAGTTGTATCCAATGTATGTGTTTTAGTTTCTCAGAATAAAAAAAAGAAATTAATCACTGTCCAGCCAAAAGGTCTCTTCAAGGGATTTTGTTCAAATGGTGAAACAACAATTCATGTGGGTGACTATTGCCAATATAGGGCCTTGGAGGTAGTTGGATCTGCCTCCTTGGGAATGGATCATCGGGAGGACATTTTCACTGCCTCAGTGAACTAGCCATAGGTCTCTGGGACTTAAAGGATGTTTGCTATGATTCCATCCAATGTTGTACTGAAAGTCTGCCTATTGACTTTTTAAAAATTATATTTCCTGTGAAATTGTACTGTTGATGGCTGGGCCACCAACATAAGAAATCAGCTTGAACCCAAAATTATGGACTTACGTTGCTTATTTGGAATTGGGGTACAGACTGACTTCATAGGCTGTTGGGCTACAAGCTCACTAGCAATGATCATCTCCAGGTTACAGCCACATTGCCATCTTCTGCTATTGAAAGAAGGAGGAACTTTGTGATAATGAACAAGGGCTACTTGGGATATTCCTGCCCATTTTAGCACAACTTCTTCTACCAGCAGGCCTTTGTAATCTTCCAGCATAGGGGCCCTTCAGCAACAATGGCAAAATAGTGTATATGACAAACAATACAGAAACTCAGTGGTGAATTGAATAGCCTCTGTGGACCTCTGTAATATGAGCAGGAGCTCTACAACTTGCTAGGAAATGAAAACACAAGGGCCCTTGTGAACACGTCAGTGTGGCATGTCCTGAAGGCATGAGCATGAATCCTAAGATTTCCACATTGCCTATTCCCTAGGATTTCAGGTCCAAAGTCTGGGAACAGAGAATGGACCCAACATTTGAGTACTTGAGTCTTGAGACCTGGTGCCATCCTATGAACCTTGTCCATGTTGATTGGAGCTAATGGGAATTCTGATCCAGCAATATCTGGAATTTCTCACTCCTAATATAGTGGATGGTCCTTGATTCACATTAAAATCAATTTGGCTAGCCAATTTAATATATGTTGGTTGATAGTTACTTCCATTACTTCCCCTCTCGTTTATTTCTTGTATGTACATGTAATATTGTCTGGTCTTGTGGAAAGAATAGATTTATGCAACAAGGTGAATGAAAAGTTTTTCTTAAGTCCTGTGTTGAAAGAAAGGTAGGACAATTAACTTTTAAATTAATTATGATAAATAATCATGATTGGAGACATTATAATAAAGAAGTCGTGATCTGAGACATGTGTGGTGCAATGGTGATTTTTCTCCATTGCAGACATTCATTACTGGTGTAAGGAACCCTGGGCTCAAACTATATGTTACACTGAGTTCCATGATTTCTTGCTTCTGGGAATTGCCGTTTTAGCCCAGGGCTACATAATTAAACTAAGTCTGGGTTAGTTTTAGGGTTGATGAGAGAGGCTTAACTATCTTAAAAATTATTTTTCAAGCAGCGTTCCCATCCATGACTGAAGAGATCCCTTGCATCTCCCTCTACTTATTTTTTTTTAGGGCTTCACAAAACTTTTTATCATATGATGATATAGAAAGTTATTATCAGAGCTGAGATTTGAAAATGGTCATAGGCTTTTGTCCCCCCATTTCTTCCTTCTGTGTGTCTGGCAGATTTCTGTTAATATACAAGCTGTGCAGATATGAGAAAATGTCTCCTTCTGACAAAAATCTGCTGCAGTCGGCAAGCCTGATAGAATGTAGTGCAATTCTCTGCAGTCCATAAACCCCAGCAGAAAAACCATCACAGGCAGAGAGTGTCTCAAATTCTCTCTTCACAGGAGGCTGCACTTAATAGGAACTCGGAGAGACAGCTACCAGTAGAAGAGGGTAGTTATCTCACTTCAACAGGATAAACAAGCAAAATGGATTTTTAAAACAATGGAATCTGTCTTTCAGCATATTTTGTTGTGTTCTTTACAGCTGAAACCTAACCATATCTACTTAGAAGTTCTGAAGTAGCTTAGTGATGAGACTTTGAGACATAATTTCTTAACACTCAATTTTTCCTCTCCCTGCTGTGGGCTTTTTTTTAGTTTTGCATGTAATAAATTACGCATGGCACATATTTATTTTCTCCTTATAATTATTTGATTTTTTTTATTTGCTCGTAGCAGGTTGCATTCCACTGAAAAACGAACTGAAACATATGCATGGTCGGATATGTTGTTTTTATTATAGTTGTCTTTAACATTGATTTATAATGAAACTTCATTATCTGAAACCCCTTAGAATTCTAAGAATCATGGTAGCATTTGGTCAAATCCTTCACTTTGTAGTAATAAGATCAAAATAGATGTGATGGGGGCAATCGTTATCTCATCTTCCTGTAAATGACCATGGAAACCTTTGTAGAACAAAAGATACAGGTGACTGAGGGGAGCTGAGTACTTTACTCTCACTATACTCCTACGCCCTATTATTTTAAGCTCCTTTTATCCACCCAGCTCCAATACCCTGACTAGGATTAAAAGAGAAAAGTGCCCAAAGCAGGGGCAGATCATGACTAGGGCAAAGAAAGTGACTCCACCCAAAGGTGTGGGGGTGAGATACCTCCTTTGTTGTGGTACACAAGCTGCTCCTGACCTGACGTGATGGCACATAACGAGGTTAAGAAACAACTCACATACACACCTCTTGTATTGTTAAAAGCAGATCCCTATTCCACATTGTAACTGCAAAGGAGGAAATAATGAGCATGGCTGTGCCATCATATATCATCGTAATGTCCTTGGAGGTTGCTAGTGGTGTTAGACATTAGTACCATTGCTGTTATGAACAAAATCTAAAAAAGAAGTGGCAAAAGTTCTCTGCGTATTTTTTACTCATGGGAATAAGTTTCAATGTGATTTTTAATAAATTGATAGATTTGTGTGGTATACAATTTTGTTTTAGAAGTAAAATACTTCTGTAAAATTAGAAAAGGAGACTGGGAAATGGCCAACTTCACTAGAGCTGTAGACCATGACAGAATATTTGGCGTTAAGTCAAGCTGCTAGCTCCAACTCAAGGAGATCCGCTGAATCAGCTGTTGACAGCTATAACAACATTTAACATAAATGTCACCAGTTTGATGGGTCTGTTCTAGCTAAGTCTGGCAACTGGATTTAGACTAGTCTTTTGTAATCAGCCTAACAAGCACTGTTTGCAATGTTACCATCCTGTGTGAAGTAGCAACTTAAGAACTAGTATCAGGAAGCAGAATGCATAGGGCAGGCCTTGATATTATGGACTATACAAGCAAGACATAAGATATTTTCTGAATAACCACACAGCATTTTTTAAAAAATTACTGGATCAGCTGAAAACCTACGTACAGTGACTCTAGTTACATTTACAGTGCCTCTAACTACAAAAATGTTCCTATGAGATATATAGATATATAGGGCTTAGAATCTGGCAATTTAACAGTATGGTTATGTGGTTTTTTTCGCAAAAAATTCAAATGATGCTAGAGAACTTTGGATGGAACTCTAAATTGGAATGCATCACTTTTAAAAACGTGTTTAATGACAAATTAATATTGATCCCTCTAATATTGATCTCTTTTGTTTTGCAGCCAAAACCACCCAATCCTGACTGGCGTTACTCTGCATCTTTAAGAGCGGGAATGCAAGGGTATGTACTCCTGTATACTCATGATAAGCTTCTAAACCTTTAAACAGCATCCTCTCCCTGTTCAAATAGTAGGGTTGCATGATTGAAGAGTCAGTGGAACAGAACAGGGCTAGTGTTCTCCTTTCTAGGCTACAATCCTGAAGTAAGTTACAACTAGAGTAGACCAATTGAATCAGTGGGGATTTGTGATTTAAATCCTTTGTAAGTTCCATTGAGTTACTGGGTGTACTCTAGTTGTGACTCACTGTTGGATTTCAGTTAGTGTGGGGCTCCACGTGCTTTAAAGCAGTGTTTCTTAACCTTTTTGAAAGATGTTCTGCATGGAACCCTGGCTGTAGGAACAGTAGAAGCCAACTGAATAGGGACTAAGTACCAAAAAGAGCATTCGGCACATGTGGGGCATAGTTTTGAAAAAAACACAACTTATAAAGGTGAGCAACTGGGTCAAGAAATTATCCCTGTTTAAGGAATTTGCATAATAATTTTTTTAAAAAAATGTTTTGTTAGCAATGAAAACAGTTGACTTCCATGATTCTGGCTTCTGGTTTTGCATACAGTAAAAAAGAACATGACTTGAAGTCTATAAACATACCTGTCTCCTTGCCATTATCACTTAACTTGATATCACCATAAAGTGTGGCAACTAAATTTGCTGTTCCTGTGTTCACCATATGATGTGTGAGGGAAAGATTATGTGAAAGGCTTCCTGCTGTTCTCCCTTTCTGCTCTCCAAAAGCATAAGGTGCAGTCACTGCTGGGTATTGTACATTACAGGAGAATATTTTCTGTATGGGTATGCTGAAGGATGTCTGAAACTGACAGGGCAGTGTTTCATTATTTACTTCAACAGTAAGGCATAAACACTGCTGAGAGTTAGTGATTTCCCAACGATGTTGGAAATGTCACATCTCATTAATGGAAACAAACCATTTCGGAAAGGCAACATTTGTGCAACACGATGTCCCCGAATTAAGTTGTGGAAGGCAAATATGCCACGAAGGTCCACAACTGCAAAATTTGCAAAACTGGAGCATCAGAGGTCTAACTTTGCAGCTACTCCAGTACATGAGATAGCACCATTTTCTGCAAATTTCAAATAATGGTGCATTTTGTGTATTTTGGAGATACATAGTCAAGAATAGCAGTGTTAATTATATGACATGGGGCAATACTATTTTGGGAGATCTAATCATTGTATAAATTTATTTAGTGGTAGTCAAGAATAGCAGTGTTAATTGTATGACATGGGGCAATACTATTTTGTGAGAACAGTGTGATCTAATCATTGTATAAATTTATTTAGTGCTGTGCACATGGAGGAGGCAGGAGCCTTACGTGGAGGACCAGGAGGACCTGAACAGCAGTGGCCAACAGTGTCCAGTGCAACAACAGGTAAGGGAATGAACTAATTTTTGTATCAAAAGGACAATAGGAACTATGCATCTTTTAATAAAGAAGTGCTCTTTATCTTCATTGGAACCACAGTTCTTGCCTAATTGTTCATAACCCTCTTTCAGTTCCACATTTGTAACCCGAACACACTCTTTACACAAGCATTTTAAAAGGAATATGAATAGCAAGCAAGCAAGCATGAAAAGGAACAGCTGGGCACCAGATGGATGCCAGATAGTAAGCTGAATTCTAGAAATCTTAATCGGAACATAATTTGGGAATATTCTCAGCAGGAGTTCTGCCTTGAAGAAAAGTTATTTGATGGTAGTAGTGGTAGTAACAAATTGTTTTACTGATTTTTCATAAAAGGTTATACAGAGAGTATTTGTCTCTCTGTCTATAAATAAATCATAAATAAACTTGCATTTAAAAGTGCCCTCCGTGAAAAATGTCTATCTCACACACAGGCATAAAGTAACTATTCAGAATGTCATTTATGTTCCCTTTCCTATTGTATAAGCTCAGATAAAGTGCTTTTACATTCCTCCTCTTTCTCTGAAGAGAATTAAGAATGAGATTTAATACTGATCTTCCCTGGCTGTCGGCCATATGAGGTGAGACCAAGGTGGGCTGGACTTCAGCAGGCATACTCTAGAGCAGAGATCTTTCGCTTCTGCTTGAAGACATAATCAGCAGGATGTGAAGAGAGGAGGAGAAGTTGCAGATGTTCCTCATGCCCATATGTGTACTATGGGCGACCATCAAACAAAATTGTGCAGCTCTTTGAATCTGCACATATGGAAAGCTCACAGTTGTAGGTTCAGGCATATGAAACAGAAAAGCCTAAACACGCCATCCTTATTCCTTACTGCAAAACAGAAAGAGAAGATTTATTCCCCTTCCAGGATATCCCAGTCCTCAGTCCCTTGGGCAGCCCTCCTCTGCTTGTTGCTCAGCAACCCATTCCTTTGTTCTTATTTTTTAAAACCCTTCTTTCCCTGCAAAAGGTGCAAAAAATAGATGGTGGCAAATAAAACCAAACAAAGCATTAGCATCCAAATATACAACATAAAACTACAGCCTAGCAAATTTAAAGACATAAACACAAGAAATGGCAGAACGAGAGACAAGAGGTTTGAGTCAGATCCGAACTGTTGACAAATAATGTTAGGCCAAAAATGGTCGTTACAGACAAGACTGTAATTAGAGCAGAAAGCACATTGAATGATGTGAAAGTAGACTTCAAAGGAATCCTGTGCTTAAACCTTGCAGATCAGTCACCAAACTAAGCAAGTTTATCCAAGTAATTCTGGAGACAAGAGGTGCTGCAGATGTTCACATTAGTTAAGAATTCCCTTCCAACAGTCATGGGCTGTCTCTAACATGTGTTTCTGGCCTGTGTGATAATCAGTCCTGAAAATCAGGCTGAACTAAACATCCCCAGCCCACTAAGCCTGGTATTTATTTATTTTGTATTTATTTTATTTATATCCCGTAATCAGTCCTGAAAATCAGGCTGAACCAAACATCCCCAGCCCACTAAGCCTGGTAGGCCTCTTTCTGGCTGGCATGGTGGAAGAGAGAGGACTTTGGCCAGAAGCACACATTCTTTGCCAGTGCACTGTACCACTGGCTGACTGAATTCAGCAGAAGGGGCAGAACGCCCATCATCTTATGCTTGACGATAGGATTGCCAAACTGAATGTAGGACTCTGCTGTTGTGTACTGGGCCTGTGCAGCCTCTTCTATTGTCTCTGCATCTCAGTGGAAAATATTACCTCTTGGTAATTACAGGCCTGTCGAGTATCAAATCTGGCAGCAATAATTGGTGGAGATATTAGGACTGTGAGCCTGTCTTCACAGACCTTTGAATAAGCACCAGTGAACTCAAAAGGGACTTATGTCTGAGTAAGCATAGATAGGATGCACTGTTAAATGCAAACCTAAAACAGTTTTCAAGGTTATCAAGGGACTGTGTACGCAAAGGCCTATTTTCAGAGTAACAGTATGGGTCATATTTTCAAATATATCCGTCTACCTTGTGTTATAATTATAGCTTTCTTTTTCCCAGAAGCACAGGCTGCTTCTGTTACTCCTTTCTGCTCTGGTGCCCAAGTTCATGAATTCCTGTCATTCCCTTTCCCTGTCCAATAAAGATGCAAAGATACATTTCTCATCAGGCAATTGACCCATTTCATGCAATTCCACTAAAACAAATGAACCAAACATTTGCTTTTGCAATGTCATTTCTTCTGCTACAGTGTTACACCTGTGTCTCATCCAGCATTAATCAGCTGCTCATTTTCAGCTACCATTTCTTTGGCTCTGACTAGAATAAAGTGCCTCTGATTCCACTTTTAAATGTGTACTCCATGTAGCTCATTTGATCTATGTATTTCTAATAGGTAGTTCTCTAGATCATTCATTTAATTTTATGGTCCACAAAACCTTGGGCCAGAGTGTTTCAGGCTGGAGGAATCAGTGACTTAATCAATGAGAGCTTCAAAAGTTGATGTCATAATAAGTTTTAAGAAGGATAAAGAAGTTAATCGTTAAGCCAGCAAATCCTTAATTCCTTGAACACAGCTGCACTCTGAATGCGTGTGGCAATCGCAGCAGTTCTGTACCTTTAGCATTAAAGCCCATTCTCAGTTACAAGGATCAAACTTCCATCGGATTCAATGGGAGTTTCACCTAAGCAAAGAAGAGCAGACTTTATCCTGTTGATGCTTATTCTTTTTAAGCTAACGCCATGCCCTGAGTTTCACTCTGGCGTAAAAAGAGTGCTCCAAGCTGAAAGAGAATGGCTGAACTGTTGTTTTTTTTTAATCCAATGGGCTGTAATGTCGCTGCCAGAATATGAAGCAGAGAAAACAGCTAAGATCAACCCTCTCCTCTTGATTTATTGAATAACTGATTTTTCTCCATCACTCTTTTAATGTCAGGGGCAACAGGAGAGAGGCTGTTATCTAAAGTTGCATTCCTTGGCTTTGGAATATTAGCAAGAAAATTCATTTACATTACTTTCTGTTAAAATGCACCTTCTTTGGCAGGAGGGACTATTAAACAGGACTAATTGTGCTATGCTAAAAAAACACCCTGATAGAAGACCTGTTTTACTGAATAGATTTGTTTCATTTCTAGGCTCTGTTTAGATTGGATTTTGCACATTTGATCTATTCAGTTAATTCAGCTAAGCACAGAGGATTAAAGGGCAAACCAGGGACTAGGAGCTATCAAGCAAAAGAGAAACAACATCAAATTTTTCAGAAATGGCACTGCTCAGTTGATAAATGGAAAATTGCTTTCCCTTTTTCATCCAGCAAGACTGGTGATGCTTTCCCCCGATATTAAACAACAACTATGGGGAAGCCCTCTCCAGCATCCAGAGACAGTAGCTTTAGAGGAGAGGCAACAAAAGGCAGAGTCAGGTCAGCCTGATACTGGGCAGGCCCATTGTCACTAGCTAGTGGTATATAGCCAACTGGTAAGTCAGTTCTTCTCATCAGTCCTCCCCAGCCATTGCATCTTTTCGAAGCCACATATTAGTGTATTCAGCTGTACTTGATTTCCAGTAGTAGCTGCATGCCAAAATGGTTGTTGCATGCAAATAAATGTCTTCAGTACTTCAGTCAAGAGAGGTGCAGTGTATCAAATGCAGCAGCAGGATGCCATTTCATGCCATGTTGCTTTGTTGCAGGGATCCTTCTGTCTTCTGCTTAAAAATGACTGGAGCCCACCACTGACAAGCAGTGGTATAAAGAACTTTATTTCTCTTTCTCATTTCATTCCAAGTCGCCTCTAGCCGTTGCTTCCTAGAGGGGGAAAAAAAAAAGAAATCCAGCTGAAATCCAGTAGTAAGCAACAGTGGAACTTGTGGAGGACTTGACTCACCAAATCCCCACTGATTCAATGGGCCTACTCTAGTTGTCACTTACTACTGGATTTTACCCACTGCCTCCCTTATCTGAGTCAGTTGCTTTTACACAGGGTCCAGTTTTCATATTGCAGATAGCACCTTGTTAAAAGCTCCTATCTCATCAGTGTCCCAGAGAGAGGTAATTCTCGGAGATCTTTGCTTCTGAGCAGTCATATTTACAGATAAAGGCTATGCATACTTCCCAATGATCAATCATAAAACAAAGCAAGCTAATTCGGAAGCAGGAAGGAAAAGTTCCTGCTGTGAAAATGAGATTTATTCAGCACGTAAGGGATTCCATCTTCTAATTGTGTAATATCTATAATAAACCAGGACCCCCTTATCGACGGGATCAGTATCCACTGAATCATTTATCAATAGTCTGAAAATATTAAAAATATTAAAAGAAAAAAATGCAGACAACTATTTTTACATGTATTACCAGAACTGGTCACTAGAAGGAGACAGAGACCATGCTATACACACTTGTCAGTGAAGAATACATAGCATGGTCTCTGCCATCCTCTAGTGGCCAGTTGTGGTAATGCATGTGAAAAAATTTTTTTTTGTTTTTCCCCTTTTACCCATGCCTCTAAGTATCCACAGGGAGCCTTGAACCAATCCCCAATGGATATGGGGGTCCTACTCTATATAGTTTGACCCTGGTTCCTTCTTCTTCCCCAGATGAACATGCACAGTACCAGATTGTTCTTCTGAGGCAGAGGAGGTGGCTGTCGCCACTGCCAGAAGGCAGTGTTTTTTCCCCACCCTCGGCCTGCCTGTAGTTTTATTTTGCTTGGTGACCTACAAATTAAACAATTAAAACACAAAATGCTAGAACAAAATAACAATTTAGCTCAGTTCTATCTATTCTTCCTCTTCTTTCCTTCACACTGATTCAGCCATTTTGTCTGTCACCCATTAATTCTATTTCGTAACTTTCCTTCAGCTTCACCTGCTACAGCCTTGCTTTCTCTTTTCACTTCTTGTCCTCATTTGTACCAGTCCACTACCTATACCTGTACAGCAAGCTGGTAGTGCTAGAAAGTTATTTTTAAACTTTAGAAGGCTATTTTCACAT